GTCTACTTTTTTTTTTTTTTTTTTTTTACATAAAGGTTGTCTTCACACTTTGATTTCCATTGAGATTCCTTTTCACTTTTTGATCTCATCTATTTATAATTTTAATAGGTGACATTGATGCAGTTTATCACACATACTCACAGTGTGTATTTCGGTGGGTGGGGTATAAATTATAATTATCATTTAAACTCATAATATTTGTTATTTTGTACATAATGATGTCCCTCGACTTGTGTGTCCATTAGTGCTTTTGTAATGCAACACCAAGATATGATTGGATTTTTTGTCCATCATTTTGTTGAATACTTCCTCTTGTTAATTTATTCAGTTCTACAACAAGCACTCCAGTGGCAATGCCATCTGTGGCACCTACAACGGCTACGCCTTCCACCACCCCTACTTCAAACAGCGGTTCACCTCTTGGGACAACTCCTTCCGGCACTGCCACACCAAATGGTGGTTCACCTGTGGTGACTACCCCATCTACAACCACCACCACCGGTAGCACAACATTAAATGGAACTTCGCCTCTTGTGACAACTCCTTCTATAGGTGTATTAGGCGGTACTAACAGCAGTTTAGGTCCTTCAGGATCTGACATCAATACAGACATGAATGATGGTGGGATTTCACTACAAAACATCCGTCCCTACTCCTTCTTTACCATGATCATCGCGTCATTTGTAGGGTTCTTGTTCTTGTGGGCTTGAGAAAGAAGAATAATGGCTATTCATTTGGAGTTAAATTTTTATGTTATGTCCTTGTATGTTATGCATGGGATCTCAACCATGTGGATTTCTTCCAATGCATTGTTTTGAAATCACTTGGCAGTTATTTTTTACATTAGTGATATTATAGGTAATCTATTCTTTGTTGTTCGGAGTTAAGAATAATTGTGCAACTAAAATCACGTAAATTTCATTCTTGATTAATTTCAATAACACATTCATAACTACTACTAATTAATATCTACATCTTTTGTAGAATCCATTAATGATCATCTTATTATTTCTCTTTATAAATCAGTGAAATGGAGGTTCAATATAACTGAGGTCTGTCTATTTAAGAATTAATTTTTTGATCCATTGCATAGAAAATCATCTATCATTCTAAATTATGTTAGAAGTTGAAAATGGTGGTGAAGGGTAGTGGTGGGAGAGAAAGAGGAAGACGAAGTGATTTTTTATTTTTTATAATTTCGATTATTTATTTATTTATTTTGGATTCATTTGTAATTTTTGGGACCATAGTTGTAATTAATTATTTTTTGATTTTTGTTTGTTTTATTTAAATGGGAGGGTATAATCATTATTTAACAATTTTTTTATTTAGAAAATGGACGACATGGGATACTGTCACTTATGGTTTCGAACATGGACCTTTTATGCTAATTCTAAAAGGTAGGGAGTTTTTCACAGCATATCCAATAGATATGGAGTTTTGTGCTAATAGGCCTTTTTAGTTATCATGTTTGTTGTGAGGTACTTAGAAGACTCGTTATCAAGTTTGAGGGTGATCGTGCAAAGTTATAATTGTAACTTACTAAAAAACTTCTATATTGCGTAACTAAATTTCAGGTAGAAAAGTAAATGTTGACTTTGAAGTCTTTGTGCTAGATATGCTCGATACACAGTTGTGAAAGAAAACAATAAAGTCATAAGCACAGGAAAAAAATAATAGAATTTGTACCGACAATGACGTGGCAAAATATAAGTGGATTGTTTATTTTCTTTTTTCTCCATCTTCCAATGAGGTCGTGTCATGCGTTATTTGTAAGGTTTTTTAGTCAAAAAATTATGTACTTATTGAACAATCCGAAAGAATTGGATGTTACGAAATATGTGAATATTAATGAATTGATAATCCAACAAATATATCAAATGGAGGCTTAATGGGCCACAACCATAGGATCTACACAGCCCATGGATCTGGTATAACCCAACCCATTTACGGAATGTTTTAGAAAAGGGCAATTTAGTCATTATATAGAAATATGGAAAGAGATTGTGTAAGTGCAATCAAGAATTCTTCTTCAAACGCGGCTTGTTCCTCTACTTCTCGATCAGAACTATATAAACAGATGCTCCTATATTTCTATGCCACTCAATCCCTTCTAACGCGCTATCACGCTCTCTACTTTACGCACCAATTACATGGGCCCCATTCTTTCCATCTTGGCACTCGTCATTTGGCGCGTGTAAGTTTCGGAGAAAAATTTGCCCTAGTCGCCTGGGAAGAATCCCTCTTCTTACTCTCTCTATAATGGACCACGAACCACCGCCTGCGACTCCGATCAGATGCTGCAGATCCAATTTCGTATTCATTGATCGGATAATCTTCTTCTGATCTGGCAGATTCACGGTGTTCGATTTCCGGTAAGTATAGTTTTTTTTTTTTTCCCCGTTCTTTTTGTTTTGTGGTCATATTTTGAGATCTGCAATTTATTATCGATTTTTTTTAGTTTTATAGGTAGGAATGGAGCCTATGGATATCGTTGGAAAAACTAAAGAGGATGCTTCGCTTCCAAAAGGTTTTTTTTTTCCTGTGCGATTTTTGGGCTTTTCTTCTTTTGACAGTTTTGTTTGCAGTATTTCTTTTTTTTTTTTTCTTTTTTTTGCGGGGGGGAGGGGGGGATAGATATTGAGTGTGTTAATGTGAATTATCACGTGAATAAGCAGCAGTTGTTTTTAGTTTATCTTGACTGGATATAATTTGATTAATATTCACACTCTTTGCTTGGGAATAGACATAAAAAATGACGAGTTGATTTTTGTATTATGTGTGAAGCCACCAGGAAACACATTCAGATAAAATATTATTGATATGAATTGCTTGCTACGGGGAAAAAAATACAAGAAGATTGTCAGCAAAATTTGGGTGATTTTATTATAAAATTTTAACCCACCATGAAGTCTGATTTTAGTTTTGTACCGGATTGTCAGCATAGGGTAATGTTTCTTCTTTATAGTACCAAATATGTGTCAACTTTATCTGTTTCGCGAATCTAGTTTTATCAATCAGCACTTTTGTAAACTCTTTAGAGAAGTGTTGGATTGGGTATAATCAATGAAAAATATTCACACTCTTTGCTTGTGATTGAGCTTGACTTCTTCGTGAATCCATGTCTAATTATAATCTACCAAAAATTTAGTTGTGATTTTGCATTGTTGAGTAAATAAATTATTCCGCTTCTTACATTGGATCTATTTATTAATGAGATGTAATGGTCTTATTTCAGCTACTATGACAAAAATCATTAAAGAGATGCTCCCCCCTGATGTGCGCGTTGCAAGAGATGCTCAGGACCTTTTAATTGAGTGTTGTGTAGGTACGCAATGTTTGTTTAGTCATGTTTATTCTCATATTTGAAATTCACTGACTTTTCAATCACATAAAAGAAACTAAGATGATAAGAATCAGTGGTTGATGTCTATTTTGGTTTTCTTTTGTAAGTGGCTTTTGCATGGTGTCTGATTTGACTATATATGATATAAACTTTCGTTATTTGGTGGACATTTTTGAGATTTATTCTTTTTATAGCATTAAAATCTTTGAAGTTTTTTTTTTTTTTTTTTGCTTAAGAGATGGAAAGATATTTACATTTTGAATTTAATCTATAATTAATGGTTAAAAATGCTACTGGTAAAGGTAGGGTTTGGGATCACAAGTAGTTACCTTGCAAAATGTTTGACACTAGGGGGTACATTAATATATTTTCTATAAATTCATATTGGATTTCTCAATTCTGAGAAATCGTTTGTCTTTTAAACTATTGAGTGTTGGTAAAGTATAGTGAATACTTATTTTGACACTCAGCATTGGTTTTTGTTTCTTTAGAGTGACCTAGCATTTGCAGCTCCATCATACTTCAAAATAAAATATTCTGATCTCTACAGTAAATTTGTTCTGTCTTATATATACCTGCATTTTTTTGGTTTGTATATAGTAAAGTTCCTTTTTATTTGTTTATTGCTGAAAGAATCTTTTCGTTTCTTCTGTTGCAGAGTTTATTAATCTTATTTCATCAGAGTCAAATGAAGTATGTAATAGAGAAGATAAAAAAACAATTGCACCTGAGCATGTACTCAAGGCTTTGGAGGTTCTGTATTTTTTGTTTTTAAATTATGTTGAATTTCATTACTGACAGTCATTTATAGTTTTGTTCAGATCGTATCAGACTACTTATTATTGTTTATTGCGTTTGAAATTGATACTCTGTTTCCTTTCATCGTATCAGACTACTTATTATTGTTTATTGCGTTTGAAGTTGATACTCTGTTTCCTTTATGAAATTTGTGTTGCATCACATCTCTTATTTTTTATTTTTTGCGAACCATCTTTCCTTTATCATTGAGTGTCTTGGTAATGCTCTTTGAGCAGAAAAAAATTAAGCATATATGGTTCCAGAATGCCGAATTTGATGCTCTTGGTTTGTCATTCCATTCTGTACCGTTGGTGTGCTCGTGTCCTGAAGTAGCAACTAACCCCACCATTTCTCCTGAGGCCCTCCCATGTAGAAGAGGAACTATTTGGCATTCTTTTGGCTAATCTATGTAGACCTTCATTCGGGAATTTTCTATTAACACAATAGATTGTTATCAACGTTATTTAATGATAAATTGTCGCGTGTGAAAAGTGCACCATATGCATTCGGACTGATTTTTCCCCGTGCTCTTTTATTTTAGGGTCTTGGATTTGGCGAGTATATCGAAGAAGTTTACGCTGCATATGAACAGCACAAGCTCGAGACGGTGGTAAATACCCTCTAACAAGACCTCACACTGGTCTTGACTCCCCTAATATGTAGTATTCTGTTGGTTTTAATTTGAAATGCTTTCTCACAGGACACAGTGAGAACCGGGAAATTGAGCAATGTAGCTGAAATGACCGAGGAACAAGCGCTGGCAGAGCAGCAGAGGATGTTTGCAGAGGCACGTGCTAGAATGAACGGAGGCATCACAGTTCCCAAGCAATCCGATCCTGAGCCTCAAGGCCCTCAACCAAGTTTGAATACCTAACTTAGGACTTAGAATGTCGTTTAATTATGTAGAGAAGCACACTTTGATTCTGAATCTGTGCCTTTTTTTCCCCCCCCTTTACATTTGTGTATAACAGGGTAATCCAGTGGATTCTCTGACTTAAATAGGACGTGTACTTCTTGTATTCTGTCTATATATTTCTGTAATTAGGGAGTTTCTCGAAATCAGCATCTGTTTTAACTTCTCTGTTTTCAAATTCTACTCTTCGATAAAACTTGTTGCCAACCGACACAATTGTATGATTCTATCTCCGTAGAGAATCAACTGTTGAAAATTTAAAGCGATTTCAAGTTGTATGGTCTTATGTTGTTTGCAGTCCAGGCTGAAAAGCCGACTACATTCTTTCTCCAAGAAGCCTGTTATGGAGCACAGTCAAAACAAGCGAATTTATGCTGAACTATCGTATCTTCGTAAAATTGATATTTGGTTTTGTACATGTAATAAATATGAAAGTGAATTTTGTGATATATGTCAAGGGTGGATGAAACAATTTGTCGGTAGGCAATCTAACTGCAAATTTGCTAAGTGAATCTTTATTCTTTAATGTAGGGTCACCACTATGCATGTCTCTTAGCCCATGTTTGATATCTTTTTTTCGATATTCTTTTTTCAACGTACTCATTTTCAATCATACATTCATATAGTGAAATATTACCAGTAAATTCAAAACATTTTTATACTTTTTAATCAAACATTGTTCAAAAATTCACTATTCAAAACTTTGTTTTTCTTAAATAATGGTCACCAAACATGGGCTTAATATGATGCATTAGGCTATTTTTGTTATTATGCCTTGCATGTGCTACAATCGACATGAAAACGTTTCATTATTGGGTTTTTAAAGAGAGGTTTAATATTGAGAGTAACTTGATTATCAGGTTGCTCGATATAATTTTATACTAACAAATGTATCAAGTTGAATTAGTTCAGCCAAATCTCTCATTACTCGAATTTTCACAAACACAAATTTCATTTTTTTGTAGGTTGAAAAATTTGTCACAAAAATATTTTACTTCTCTAGTTTAAACACAATAAGCCCTAGTTTGATTCCCATTTTTCTTAAAATAGTGAAATACATTTTTCTCTCTTTTTTTCAACTACATATTCTTCAAAAAATAATATTACACGCAAATTCAATTTTTTTCTTATTTTATATACACATTCTTCATCAATCTATTATTTCAAAATGCATTCTAGCCCAAAAAAATGGGGTTCAAACATGCCCTAAATAAGTATGTCCGAAAAGTATTTATAAACCATTTTGTCCATATAAATAAATATAAATAAGGGATTTCAATGTTTATAAACATGAGAAAACATGGACTTAAAAGAGTAATGGAGGTTATTATAAAATACGTTACACTACGATGCATTTATTTAAAAAAAAAATTAAAAAAAAATGCAGGGCGTGGATCTCAAACTCCAAAGTCAAACCACAAGTTTACTTTTATTTAAATCATTGATCAATATTTTGTTTCCCAATTAAATTTTAAACTAAGACAATTTCACTTTCGGTTCTTGACCTATTATTGGAGTATCAAATTGATCTTCAATCTTCGAAAAAGAGCAAGTGAATAATTAATACTTCATTATTGACTCATTAATGGCGAGAACTTTACATTTCATGTGTCAATGATTCTTGTATGTCCAACTTTATAAAGTTAAATTATTGACCAAAAAATCGAAATCAAAAGCCTTTTTTTTTATTTATTATTATATGAACCATGTGACAAGTCCTTTTCTAACTAGAATTAGATGTTGAGAACTAATTTATTCATTTTTAAATATTTGAGATCAACTTGGTATACATATAGTAGGTTTGAGAACAAATGCAACAAATTTTCCACTTACACTACTAACCCAAAAATTATAAAAAAAGATTAATACTCTACTTTTCATTATAGTTGTACAGGTATTTAACAATAAAATTGTGTAAATCTTCACTCAGGGTATGTTTGATAAGTCAAAATTTTTTCTAGAAAATGGAAAATGAATTTCAACTTCCACTTTTGCATTGTTTGATAGCATTTTTTATTTATTTATTTATCTAGAATTCATTTTCCACTTCATTTGGCATCTAAGCTGAATTCCACATTTTCCTTGAATTGAAATTTTCACCAATATGGTGAGAATTCCAATTCCGGTCACTGTATCTATATTATTATTATTTTGCAATAGAAACAAATTATAAGAATTATAGTAAAAAAATATTTTTTTTAATTGACAATTTTTATGTAAAACAAAATCAAATGAATATCAAAAGATAGATGATTTTCTTGGATTTTTTTTTTGGGCAATGGAAACAAATTTCATCCTCAATACCAGTAAAATATATCAATTTAATTGACAATTTTCATGTAAAATAAAGTCAAACGAACAGCAAAAACTACTTTTATTTCAATATTTTTCACGTGAAAAATTATACCAATCAAACACCATAATTTACAATTCTTAGGAAGCAATTTATAGGCAATTCAATTCCCTGAAATTCGTTTTCAATTAATTCTTTATAATCAAACGGACCCTTATTGTCTTTCTTAATAGAGACTTGTCTTGTTTTAAATTTTCATCAAACCACCCAGGCTGAAAATCAGAAGGTTCAAAAAGTTGCATTTGCTAAGGTCGTGTAAAGATTTAACTAAAACTGTTATTGTAATTGAGGAATAATTATAATTATAGATATAATTAGAACCTGCCTAGCCTGACTTTTTGAAAAATGTTTATCCATTTTCGATTTCACCAATTTAAATTTATGAAAACCGTCCAAAAATTGGCTAAAAAATCCATCTTTTGATTTTTTGTAAATTTATTTGTATAATCATTTTTTTTTTTTTTTTTTGAAAAATCACCATGTAGATCTCGGTTCAACCCTTTAACCCTTGATATTTTTCTTTTTCAGGGTTGAAACCGTGGTCGAATTTTAAAGTATTGGTAATTATAATGAAACATTAGGAAAATAAACTAATGTATTTTTTAAGGTCGAGACCAACTTATGTAATAGGTTATGGATGAATAGTGCAATTTATTGCAATCGAAATATATTATTATAATATCACAAATTTCGAAAACAACCCCACGTAGGTTTATGTAATTTCTGTCCAAACACTGTTGTGAGACGGGGAACTTGTACCAGAAACCATTTACTCGTGAATTAAATTCATTCAATCACATTATTTTTAGCTTTAGGGTGTAGAAAGAAACGGAGAGAATTCTTGGCCATTGCATTCAATTTGGGATCGTAGGGGAGGAGCAAACGAATCGATAGGCATATAGAGAGATGGGTTGCTCGTTCTCGGGACTGAATGCCCTTTACGACTCCGTTAATGGTGGAGGGGATGTTTGGATCAATGAGAATCGGTTCAGGATCTTGAGGCAGCTGGGAGAGGGTGGATTTGCATATGTTTTCCTTGTCAAGGAGGTTATATCAGATCCATCCAACCCTGGAATTTCTAAGAAAATCAAGGACTCTTCTCATGTCTCTGGTATTTTTTATTTTTTATTTTTGTGTTTCCCATTTCTGTTGGAATTTCGAGTCTTTAATTCAATGTTTACAAGAGATTTTTTTTTTTAATTTTTATTGGTGATTTTAGTGAGTGCTTATTTTTATGGGATCTTTTGGTTTTGATGTGGGATCTGGGAATTATTTATTTATTCATTTATGATTATAGGCGGTTGTTTTGGCTTTGATTGAATCTCGTATTCACAAGAGGAAAGGAAGAAGGGATCTTGCACGAACGTTAATATCCCCAGATTTGCCAGTTTTCGCTACTGATCTGTAAATTGAAGTGGCTTTCGCTAGTGATTTCCTTACTTAAGAAACAGTTATATATGTTAGGTCTGTATTATTGCCTTCTTAGAGATTGTTCGGTTTCTATGGATTTGTAGGTAATTAATGCTTTGTTGATATGAATTTTGGTATTGGAAGGTTGATTTTCAGAGGCCCACTACTAAAATGTCGGCCAAAATGAAATACAGATAAATAAAAACTAGCTAACACCGTGCCCTCTAATTGCGCCAATGTCACCCTAAAGAAGGAACATACATACCTTAATTGATGTGCTTCTTCTGCATGGAATGGAGCTTCAAACTGAGCTAAATGGAAATTGCGTGCAGATATTTTTATGGGTGGTGGTGGTGGTTGGGTGTTGGTTTGGTCTTTTGATAGGAAACGAAAGTCAACCAAAAGGAGGAACTTGCATATCTTTATTTATGTGCATCTTCTATATGGAATGGATGGTCAAATTGATCCATATGGAAAAAAAATATGCAATGCGATCTAAACGGTCTATTGGATGGTTGAATCTGCAGCTGATGGAACATATGCAATGAAGAAAGTTCTCATTCAAAACAGTGAACAGTTGGAGTTGGTAAGAGAGGAGATCCGTGTTTCCTCTCAGTTTAGCCACCCCAATCTGCTTCCTCTTCTTGATCATGCAATCATTGCTGTCAAGGTGATTACTGTTTGTTCATCTTCAATCTTATATGTACGCATAATGTATTTTTATTCATTGAATAAAGTTTAAGTTGTGAATTTTGTTTGAGTGCGCCGAGCTAAAGCAAAAAGGGCTTCCAGACTTTGCACTTCTCATTCAGTTTTAGTCTAGTTTACTGTCTCCAAATTTAGGAAAGGAATAAATCATAACCTTGACTTGCTCCTCATTTCTTTGCATGTTTCAAACATTCTCGAGCCAGCGTAGCATGTTTGGCATTAGCCTCTGAGTGTTGTTCTGTAGGCAATCATCTACTTGAAAATTTTGCTTTCAGATAAATTATGACAGTGGGGAAATTACTTTCTTTCAAATTACTTGATCTTTGGTGTCAGCTATCATACAATTGTATGACTTCAGGATGACATAATAAATAAATAGTATAATTTTATTGTTTTTCTTCTTTACTCTTCACTCTCTGCTTTTTACTCGTTCTGAATTAGCATTCCTTACGTGAGAGACCATTTTTATACACATCTAACATGCTGTAAAATGGTCTCATTGATTATCTAGTAACTTCCTGCAGTCCCGTGGTCCTGAAACTCTTCAGATAAGAGATTGGCTGTGAATATTTGAATGTGTCCTGTGGGTTACTTTTCATGTGAACACGAGATGGAATACCATAATTCTGGTTTCATATAAAGCACATCCACTTAAATTGTCTATCACTCATTTTCCAGTACTGGTATCTATAGTAATGGAGGGATAATCTGTCTAATAGATTCTTTTTATTGGCTAGGCATCACAAGGACAATCTTGGAAGCATGAAGCATATTTGTTGTTTCCCGTGCACTTGGATGGAACGTTATTTGACATTGCAAATGCTATGAAAGCTAAGAAGGATTTCTTTTCTACCTCAGACGTGCTTCAAATATTTCGTCAGGTATGGAGGAAATACTAGTTCTGTCTCCTAAATGAGTAAATGTGACTTTTTTAATTTGGTATATTTAAAGATATTGAGGTTACTGACTTTTTAAATTATTAGTTAATGTTCACTGAAACGTTTGGAAGTGCAAGTGGTTTCATATGCAATGACATTGTTAATTTATGCCCCCATTAATTTTGATTATAATGGGGGGAATGGTGGTTTTTTTTTTTTGGGAAAAATGGATGGTTGTAAAAGAATGAAAAGTTTTTGATTTACGTGTAATATTATTTTATTGAAGATTGTGTGGTTGAAAATAGGAGAGAGAAAAATTTAATTTAATTTGATGAGATATAATGGGGGTCAAACGGGGGTTATATCTTATTGCCTTTATGAAGAGGGACCATTTTACTGATAAATGAGGGTTCATCTGCAGCTTTGTGCAGGACTTAAGCATATGCACAGTTTTGAGCCCCAATATGCTCACAATGATGTCAAACCTGGTAATGTCCTCGTGACATACAGAAAGGGACAATCACCTTTAGCAATATTGATGGACTTTGGAAGTTCTCGTCCAGCAAGAAAGCAGATTCGGTCTCGTACAGAAGCGTTACGGCTGCAGGTATTAATGTGTAAAATTATCTTCCTTTTCCGTCATCCAATGTGTCAAGTTTGATTTTGTAATTTAGTAACAGCCATAACTAGTTTGTGGCTTCAGCATGTGACATGCAACATTTGTGAATTCATTCCTTAATTATACTTTGAGTGAGTCCAATGTGCACGGTTCACATTCCAAATAAGTCTGTTTTGCATTTCCAAGGGTGCTTTTAATTTGACCTCTGGGTATTCCTTATGTAGGAATGGGCTTCTGAGCACTGCTCGGCACCTTTCCGAGCTCCTGAATTATGGGATTGCCCAAGCCATGCTGATATTGATGAGAGAACTGATATTTGGTCACTAGGCTGCACATTGTTTGCAATCATGTAAGAAGTGTTCACATTGCTTCGAATATTTAAAGCTGTTATCTTGTTAATCCATCTGCATTTTATGATTTTTTATGCTCATGGAAAAAAGGGGGGATATTATTATACACCAGCAGCACTGCCAAGTCTGATCCATTTATATGGTAGTTAACCTCAGTATGATTTCATAACTGATTTTTATCTCCTGGCATTATCGAATGAATTTTCTTTTTCAAAATTTGAAATTTTTTATCACTAGCATATATTTGTGTGATGAATCTTCTTTGATATCTCCTGTGAAAATTCAGAACATTAAAATAGTATACTATACATATTGATTAAATATTATTTTTACATTAGCTTATGGTTGTACTTGAATAGTTGAGTATGCTAGTGTTCCAAATCAACTACTGTGAACCTGACTGAAATTTGACTTGACCATGTTAAACGCAATATAAAAAAGTATTAAGGTCGTTGGAAAACACTTTTCCTTTGTTGATACTTCACTATTACATAATTTTCTACCTATAACGTTATCGTTTCTCTACGAATATTTAGCAATTAGTGGGAACCACTAGGCGTTAATTTTTAACAGATGCTCTTGTTATAATAGAAAACAGAGAAATATTGAAAAAAATTCTGGCAAGGATTACTGCTGCTAATTATGATTTTTCCAACTACCACCACATTAAACTAGTTTTGTTTTCCCCCTTTTTTGTCTGAAAACAATTTCTCTTTTGGTGCCTGACTATGCAGTAAGTTACTTATTTTGAAACTAAGGGCTTGTTTGGTGTAGATTTTTTGAAAATAGATTTTGTGAAAAGTGATATTTTTGGAGAATGTGTAGTTAAGAAGTATGGAAAATTTATTGTTCTCGTGTAAAATTATTCTATTGGGTGAATGTATAGTAGAAAATGAGTTTGGGAAAAAATGAGTGTTAAAGAATATATACCAAACAAGGGCTAAAGAGTTGTTATTAAAACAAGTAATTTTATTTACTTGAAGAAAAAATAGCTTATCTAAACATTTTTGGAAACGAAAAATTAGTCGTAATTTTAACTTATTTTCAAGTCTAGCCAAACATGCAGTTGTGTTTCAACTATCTCTCTTTATTTTCTTCTTGCTTGACTTATGGCTGCTTTTCATAGGTACGGCGTATCTCCATTTGAATATGCACTCGGGGAATCTGGTGGAAGCCTACAATTAGCCATCGTAAACGCTCAGATAAAGTGGCCGAATGGCCCTAATCCTCCATATCCAGACGCCCTCCACCAGTTCGTGACATGGATGCTGCAGCCTCAAGCAGCAGTTCGACCTTGCATCGATGATATTATAATTCACGTTGATAAGCTTATAACAAAATTTTCTAAGTGAAGAAATGGGACCATAGAATTACAGGATTAGTCAACACTTCAAATGTGCACTTCAGGTGATTGAATTGCAATTAAATATTTAATTATTTTTTCTCCCTTTTTGGTTGAAGTGAATATGTCATATGAAGGTATAGGGAATTGTTTAATTGTTGGGGTTTTGTGTGGTTATCTTTCTGCATTGTATCACATTAGTCCAAATGATCTAGTTTTATTATAGCACCCTTCATATTAATAATTGACTTGGTTATTACTAATATTCCTCTCTCTCTCTCTCTCTCTCTCTCTATATATATATATATATATATATATATATATATATATATGTATGTGTGTGTGTGTGTGTGCGCGCGCGCGCGAGTATGTGCAGAAATCATTGTTTTCAATCTATATATCCGGCATGGGGTGTGCAGGAGCAAGACAAAATAAAATAAAATATTAGAATCTCCAAATCTTAACCATGATATGCAAAATTAAAATCTAAATATCTCATTAAGTGGCTCAATCCATAGCTAGTTGATAAATTAGAAATAATCCAAGATCGATTTTTCCTCCAAAAAAAATAATCCTCTTAGAATTAATCTAGAAATAATTTTCCAAAAACATTTTCATGCTGATAGATTGTACGAAAATGAGCTAGAGAAGAGGCATCTGAATTTGTTGTTATCGCGGCGAGTCCTATTAGACCCTTGATATTAAATATGTCACAAATTATTTCATAAAGTCAATCATTAGGTCAATCCTCCATCCCTTCTCTCGTTTGTACACTCGAATTCAGTCTTATCCCATCCATAATAATAATCGTGTCGCAAACGTTCATGTTATAAAAGCCAATTACTCGGACAATTTTCTTTCAACGTTATCATCTCTAAAACAATTCAAACCAAAATACTAAATTTGTCATAACGTATGTGACACATATCCAACTCCTCTCTCTCTCTCTCTCTTTCTCGTATTTATGCTACTATATGTTCAATTTTATTCAGTCCATAATACTAAACGTACTGATATTATAAAATTAATCGATTTTCTCTTTCTGATATCATATCTAATCCTATTCAATCCCCCCTAAATCTACTTCCTCTCTGTATAACAAACCTCTAACCTTAGCTCGCATTTAATGCTCACATCACTCTCTTGCCAACTAAAACCCGGGAAACTCTTCAATTTTCACATCTGTCACTCCTCTCTCTTCATGCCCAATAATGACCACACACAAAACACCACGTGTCACACCTCCTCACTATATATACACTAATTTAGTTCGTACGTACCGTCATCAGCTAAATATATACACACACACATATATATATATATAGAGAGAGAGAGAGACATTTTTATTCATATTTCATTGGTACAATCTTGTTTCAATGAGTCCTACACAACTCCATGACCAATATGTACACAAAGAATCACCCCATAATGGCACGATTCCTCCACCTTTGAAGATCAATAAAGACTCACATTTCATCAAGAAATTGCCTTCGTCGTCGTCCTCCTCCTCCTCAACCGTCATCAACGGCGTTGGGTTGAAGCCACCTCAGCCGCGTTATCCCGTCATTATTTACACGCACTCTCCGAAGGTTATTCACACGCACCCTCGAGATTTCATGGCATTGGTGCAAAAGCTCACTGGATACTCACCCTCTAAGGACGAAACTACGAACCTTAAACCTAAACACGACGACAAGAAAAGTGTAATCAATGATGATAATGAGTCTACCTCGGTTGTCACAGATGAGAATATCAATGGCAGCAACAGTACTTTTGAAGATTCCCAGGTTAATTCTCAGTTCGTTCCTCCGAATCCGGGATTCACTAGTTTACCTTGTTTCCATCCGAATTCGACAAATATATTGACATCAGCTCCATCATTTTATAATAACAAAGAGTCACTGATGTTCGTGCCTAAAATGGGAAGCTCCTTTTCAACTTGTACACTGGGTGCTAACAAGGATTAGCCAGAATTTTGAAGTTTTTATGATATATTTGGATTATAATTTATAATATGGAATTTGAATTCTGTTCATGAATCTCTTATATGATTCTGTCAGTGATGAGAGTTTTGGAGAAACTTTCCATATAATTGATTTTCAATAATTATTTCTATTTTTTTATTGTGTTATTCAACAAGAAATGAATTGGTTTGGAATAAGAAGATGACTTGATGCCGTCGTCTAATTTCACGTCTTATATTTTTCTCTAGAAAAATAAACCAGAATATTGAAAAGAGCATTAAATAAAAGAAAACGCTATTTTTGAAAAAAAAAAGGATAACATACTTAATAAGTTAAATTAGATAGAATTAAAAATAATTATTGTTGCATATATATTTTTGTTTAATATTGTCAAGTCATATTAAGTCGTGCCCTCGGTGAACTTATTTGTCACCAAAATAAGTAACTAAAAAGAAAGTATTAAACAATTATATATACATCAGTGAAGTTTAATTTGAGATGTAGACGTAAAAAATAATAAATCCTTGGCATCTAGGTAAAATTTAATTGGTCATTAACTAGGGCTGAACACAATCCAATTCGATTCGATTTCAAAAATAATTGAACTGAACCAAGAATCATTGTGTATCTCTAAAATGGAATTGCCGAGTTCAACTTTAATTATGGGACCGAACCATCTGGTTGGGTTCAATTTCTTACTACTAATTAGAATTTCCAATGTTCTTGTAATTCTAATAACTATTTTCATTCTCTTAATGTTTTAAACATCACGACAATTCTAGGAAGGAAATTTTACAAAAAAAAAAAAAACTACTTGCATTTCTGGGAAGGTAAATTTACAAAATAGAACTTGCATTTAGGGTTTATCAACAATTTGCATACCATGCTTTGTAAATTTATATTTTGTATACTGAATTTCACTTATTTCTTAAAAAAAAAAAAAAAAAAAACACATTTTGCAGAAAATAAAAATGCTGACAAAATTTTCTTGGAGTAGTTTCTTATAAACCAGACAAAGTATGACATTCTTGTTTGACCTTTTAAGTTATTTTTGTAGGTCTTTACAACTAAAAAATTAGCTTTGATTTTCATGCTATTTTTATTATTTTTATAATGAAATATGTCACGTTTTAAACATTTTTAAAAATACAATTTCCTAAATTTTTTTTCTTTCTTACACCATTGATGTTAGAATATCAGTCTAGTTAGCAATAATTGATAGATTTAATTAAATGAAACATGTGACAATACATTTACGTGAATCTATCACTTAATGCCATGCAGTTATCATCTAAATTGGTGCTCAACAACAGTGGTGCTGAATAAATTTACTCAAGAATTCACATTTATCGGCATGGCGACACTTACACTAATGTTTTGACACCTCAAAATTATAGCGATGTATAAAAATTTTAATGGTGAGATAGTGAAAAAGATGGCCAATCAAGAACACTAAGGCAAACCATTAAGATCACAAGCTTCCTGCACAAAATATTCTTAACTTGCTCTTGCAGATATCAGGGATGAATTGAAGACAAAGCATCCATTTGAAGAAACATACAAATTACATGGCATAATTATATTTACCTCCATATTTACAAATTCGCAGTCCCGAGATAACCTCAAGATAGATAGTACAACAAACGAACGAACATTTGAGTCACTTTTTCTTTTTGTCTTCTTTGACTCTTTCAAGAACAACAGGAGCAGCTGGTATGCTGAACCACCACTCTCTTAATCTTCTCGTCCACCTCTCAGTGCAGGCTCTCCTAAGAGGTGAGTATTTAGTAAATGTTTCAAGAAAAACGAGTAGGACAATGTATTTTACAGGCAAAAACGCCAGCAGTAAAGCCGTGGCCAAGAGTGCAACTGCAAATTTCTCGGTTGCCTGGATATTAGTAATGTCACGTTAGTGAAGAATTAAGTTAACAATTTGCCAAAGGCAGCTAAAATTATACGGCTGCACCACAAAGCACAAAGAAACATAGGCAGTAAGTGCTAAATACCACATTTCTGTACATATTCATTTCATCTTGCTACAACTCAATAATTAAATTTACAACAATGCAACCAATTTCAGGTATCAGAAGCGTAAATGAAAAAAATTCGATTTGATGACAATTGAGTATTTAGCCTGCTAAGCTTAAAAATCTACTACAAGAATATAAATCCTTTTTAGAATAAATGATTTCTTTGAATGGTTACAGTTGGTAATACATTTCACCATAAGGTAATAATTAGTTTCAAAATAAATAATGTTTTTTCACTTGAGCAAGAAAAAGTAACATATCCAAACATGCTTGAGTACAAAAAATTAAAAATGACTTCAACGTTTACATTTCTGAAGCATGCATGCACGCAATTTTGGCATTGTGCCATAATGGTTGTTGTGAGCTCCATTTGGATTGACAGATTTTCTTGTGTATGAGACAGTCAATTCATCGTCTTCATTGAGGTAGGGCTGTGCTTGCTAAAACTTGCATTCTAGTTCATGTTTGACATGAATGGCAGCAATTTCTTATCTACTTTTGTTTTACCTATTTATTTTTCTTCAGATGATCTAATTTTGCATTATAGACAGCAAATACTGTCGTCCAATTTCTTATTTCTTTCCCATTATCAGCAGGCAATCCTTATTGGAATCCCTGCAAGGGAACACAAGATGCACGAAGGGACAACACACCTGGAAATTTGTATGGTCTGAAGGGAAAAACGAAGACACCCTATGAGTTCTTTTAGAAGCACAAATAAGATCTCTCCTTATAAGTACTCTAACAAAAGAAATGTATTTGGGTGGCTATTTTGTCCCTGAAATAAATGGCCTATTAAAATCTATGTCGTAAGTATAACTGATATCAGTTGTAATAAATATAATGCAGGAGTATCTTTCTAGAATTAATTTAAAAGTATTGGCTGGTTGGCTCTAACAAGTTTCTGCCATGGTTCTGGCCAATTATTGAACTGGACTGATTAAAGGGGAAATTTTACTAGTTTCTCCATCGAAACAGTAAATCAAGTCCAGACTTAGGGGTGTATGGCACTTGACATAAATGAGAGTGAACTTCAAAGAACAGAAGGCACTCGTTATTGACAAAATAATTTACCAATAACAAATTTGAGTTTTCCAAAACAAAAAGACGATCAAGAAAGACCAATACACTAAACAATACCTGGGGAAATATTGATAAGAGTAAGGCACGGCATTTGAGAAGAGCAACGTTTCCGTCCTGGATTAGCTCTTCAGCTTGAGAAATTGCATTTTGAACTGCCAAAAGCTGCTCCATGGTATTCATTGCAGGGGGTGCTATTACTTTGAGTTTGAGTTCATCAACTGGCCTTCCTTGGCCACAACAACGCGTAATCAACATGAAGGTTGCAAAACAGATGAGCAATGTTGCAAAGGCATAGCCTAGCCAACCTCTGCAAAACAAGTATTGCTAAGTACGCAAAATAGGCCAGAGAACAGAATAAGAGCTTGTTTGGGAGTGATTTTGAGAATTGATTTTTTGACCGTTAGGAGAAAAGTGAGGTCCACCTGTGAGAGAAGAAGTCAAATATGACAACTGGAATAGTGAAATAACGGTCAAAAAATCAATTTTTTGAGTGAAAAAATCGCTCCCAAACAAACCTTAAGACAAAGGAAAAGAGAGGAGAGACACAAAGCAGGAAGACAAAGAAGAAGATAAATAGTCTAAGGTAAATTAAAACCCCAGTTCCCATTTTATAGTTGTAACGACTTTAGTCTAACTGAACTTCCAATAAGTCTGACTACATCAAAATCTTATAAAACCAATTGAATCTAATCTAATCTTATCTCATTTTCCCTACTACATATACAATGACGGTCAATTCAACTAGGTCTCATTCTACTCAGAACCCCCATCAGTAAGTTTCTTTCAATCTCTTGACAATGACATCCTTTGCATGATGTGCTAATGAAAATACAACAGTCAAGGCAATAGAGATATTTCTACATCATAGCTACCCTTCTCTGCAGAGGGATTTCCTAAGACCAGTCATGTCATCTTAGTTGAGAAGACAATTTTAAATTGTCACCAAAAATGTATGTAAAACCAAAATCGATGTAAATGTAAGATATTGTCTTCTATTTTAGACAAGTCAAATATTATAACCTTCAGATATTTTATTGGGTGTTCTGTGCCAAGTTTTATCTTTGTTCTTCCACCTACTGTACACATGCACGTGCACAATCGAAAAAGTCAACATGGATAACTACTCACAAGTATGTGTGCCACGTGTTCGCAAATATATACATATGCCAATTCTCCCTATATATACATACATATATATGTATGTATATATAGACTTCATTTTAAACAATATATATATATATATATATATATATATATATAGACTTCCTTTCAATTGTTTAACTATACACTAAATTTGTTGTATCCTTCAAACTAAAATCCTTGTTCAGATATAAAATGCATTTCTGCCAATATTATTATCCAATTTTTCTTAAAGTTCCAGCTGTCACAATTTATTTCCTTAAAAACAGCAGGTTGAATCTAATAAATCTTTGATGATTTATCTAGTTAATAGAGTTCAATAAAAATGTCTCGAAAGAAGATTCTTTGATGGGGTATCTAGTTATTCCACATTTTTCTTCCATTCCTTCTAACATCATAAGATAATTGGGCCTGTGGTGTGCCTTTCACCCAGTAGCGAAGCAAGGTTTCCAGAGGAAGACCTGAAAGACCAAATCATGAATATGCCCTAGAAGATTCTTTAAGAGTTATAATACATTTGGCAGCCTTGTTTAGTTGTTTCACTATCTTAACAGACATTTTGAAAATTTTCATTGCATATACTTGAGTAGCAGTCCTTCAAACTACCTATTTGTTTATTTTATGATTTTGACGTATGATTATGAATTTAACCAAATAAATGACAATTACATGAAGGTTCTTGATGGATTGTTTATTCTCAGTGTACTCATCCTGCTTATTGCATATGTATATGTATCCATAACAATTTAAGCTATAAAATGAGGGGATCATTCAACAAGGAATCGGAGCCAGGGTCGCTGAGCATTTTTCTTCTCATGGTCATCCTGTTGAAAAATTAAAGTGAATACAGAGCCTTGTCAATGACTATAATCCCCATAATTTCTTTTTCTTAGGCCTAAATTACTTAACAGCTATAAAACCCAGGTAATTTCAAATACTATATTGGTCTGTTGTATTCATGCAATTTCACCATACTTTTAAACTATGTATATGTATCTTGTACACGAGGACATCTGGACTTCAAAAAACTTGTGTGATTCTATGTCTTGGACGTTGCGATCCTGAATGGAGCAACATTGAATACCTCGAAAGGAGTGCGAGTGTGATCCTTAAGAGTCTTCAACTGTGGTGATGACCCTAATAGGGTGGTAGGGCTTTATGATGTTTAAATGAGAACTTTGATGATGACATTAATGTGATGATAATTATGACGCTAATACCTGATACAGTTTTATATGGGCACTGTAAATATCTGTTTTATGGAACAAATGCCAGAATTAAAATAATCCAGTATTTGGTGGTCACAGTTTTATGATGGCTCATATCTACTACAATGAGGTGTCCAGACAAGAAGATATGAGTTATGTGATTTTATGAGGATAAAGTAGTGGTCTTTTCTATAATGATCACGATGTTAACATTAATATATATTATGTTATGCAGTAATGATATGTAATGTCATGACATCATAAGGATGATTATGTTATTACAATGATAAGATCCGAATTATGATGATCAATAATATGTATGAAATAAGGAATAACAAAACTCTTTCTTCTTACAATCGCTGCTTGGGTGGAATTATTATCAAAGTGCAAGTCAGGCACTTTTCTCTTCATGTCCGAAGAGAGTCAACAAAGCACAGGAGAGGGGGGAGAGAGGAGGAGGAATCAGAACACCTTTCAAGTTGAAAACAATTGAAAAAGTTGAAGTTAAAGAAAACTTTCTCACCTCCAGATAATATATGTGAAAACCAAACAGAAAACNCAAGTTGAAAACAATTGAAAAAGTTGAAGTTAAAGAAAACTTTCTCACCTCCAGATAATATATGTGAAAACCAAACAGAAAACCACGGACTTCCAATAGTCTTCCCAGTAAAGCAAAGAAAGAAGCCAATTTCCAACTTCAATCAGAGGAGAAAGCAATTCCTGCAATTATACGTGACTATTAAATACGACTGCAGGTGAAAGCTTGTGAAAATTACAGCAGCACCACATTAAGAAAATGGGAGAACAAAAAAATAATGTGTCAATGAAGAATAGAATATAGAATTTGAAAGATTTGTGCTAAAGCAGCCAGTCATTTTTCAAAAAAGTAATATAGTGAGAGAAAGTGAGATCAATATCAATTCGCTATAACAAAAATACGGAACAGCAGACTGAGCAGAGAACCTGCCATCTCTCGTTCTTTGAAATTCAATGCGGAATATAAATTACAAAAGAATAAATAAATTCTTACAGAAGTACATGCCCAATACCTTCATCACTGCCATGTTGGTGTCAATTCCATCAACTTTAACTCCATCTATTGTAGATTGAGCATGCACTACCTTTTTATAGCTGCTTCTAGCTTCTTTAACTGCTTTCTCCAAAGGAGTCATCTCTCCGACAGCAATTTCACCAACAACTAATCCTGTCTCACTAGCTACACCAGAACTCATTCCTGATGCAAATCCCAAATTAGAAGCGATAGCTAAAGCTGAAATTGAATACATCCCACTTCCAGATTTAGCAGAGTTTGTGCGGTCTAATTCTCTCGTTGTAGACATGATCGCAAGATTTTCTAAAATTTTGTCCCCACCTGGGAGCTGATCACAAACGTTGAACATAAGAAGAGCCTCACAGGAAACAGGGACAGCAGAACCTATTTCTTTAAGCACTTGTACTCGCAGAATCCCAAATATTGCTTTCAGAAGCACTTCATCCTTCTCCAGAGAACTGATCTCGAACTTACGTGTAAATCTATGGGCATATAAAACTTCACGAATAATAGCTAACCAGTAATCACGACGGGTATGACCTTTAAGCTCGGGAAACNGTGTAAATCTATGGGCATATAAAACTTCACGAATAATAGCTAACCAGTAATCACGACGGGTATGACCTTTAAGCTCGGGAAACGCCATTACAACTGGCTCCAATCTAAGAAAGGAATACTACAGAATTCATAAGCTTCTCAAATATAAACATGGAGATAAAAATATTGCGGAAGTAAAAATGATGGTGCATGTTGTCGAAGTATCAAGGAAAATAGTCTGCGTTCACCATGCCTTACAATGAAATTGATTTGTAGAAGACTGCCTTGTCAAAAAGCCTGGTTCCCCATGGTCCAGTCAGCTCAGGTCTAACAACTTGCTTTAAGTCATCAGCTAGATCATATACTTTTGCTTTATCATAAGAAACAACACGAAGAGCTTCGAAGTATAGAGCATGATCAGTCAAAGTTAACCGACCTGCAATCATAGACATGTCATGGATGTTTAAAATAACAGAGGACATCTTGTCATTTCACTATGTTCCCAATCTTCAGTGCACGAATTTTACAACTTACCAGGCCATGTTGAAATTCCCACATGTTCAAGAACAGGCTGGCTTGTGACTGTTCCATCCACTTCCAGGATCTTCTCCCCTCTTTTTGATCGGATGGAAGAAAGGAGGGATGATTCCGATTGATTCTTCAGTTTTCGTATTACCCTGCAAATAAAACCAGGCAAAAATTGAAATGAGGAAAGGAAAACAAATTAAAATTAAGCACAGTACTCTCACTTGCCCAAACAAATCATGTTCAAGACCCTCAAACTTATATGGAAACCCACATCATCAACATGTGCAAGATACGACATAGAATCACTTAGCTGGAGTAAGACTCTCTAAACTTTCGATAAACATTGGGATGCCAATCCTCTCAAAGAAAATAAAAAATTTTGCTCCAGTCCATGGTGGATTTTTTATTTTTCTCGAGGCATGAAAATCAAGCTTTAACCTTTGTGTAAAAACCTCAGAAATAATCACCTTAGCATCTAATTCTACGCGTTGTGCTTACATTGGTTATCACTTACTCCTCTAATCACCTTGAGCAACTTCTCACAGATTACCATCAAACGTATTATCATTACAGCAGTGAGATTTATCAAGCCCTTGTTTGGGCTCCATTAAAATGTAATTTTGAGAAAAATGTATTTTAAAATAGTGATTTTTTGGAAAATGTGTGGTTAAAAAAAGAAAGAAAATTTTGGATTTATGTGTAACATTATTTTATTAAAGAATATGTGGTTAAAACTAAGAAAGAAAAAGAGAACCGGTTGTAAACTTCAGGGCCCCGTGGAATTAGTCAAAGTGCACGTGAGCTGGCGCGAACAGCCATGGTCATAAAAAAAAAAATAAGAAAGAGAAAATGCATTAAAATTAAAATGGAGCCCAAACATGGGCTAAGTGAATATGGCTTTCCAGAGTAACTACTTTCACAACTTTCAAACACTTCACATGCATCCGAATTTGCAGAAATATCAGAAAGAGTTTATAGTCAATTCTCCTACGAAAACAGAATAAGAGTCTAGCAAGCTCTCATATGCATAAGTAAAGCTACTCTAAACTGATAGCTTATATCCAATTCAGAGCAACAGATATTTATTTCTGGTATATTCAAATACAAGGCAGTACACCCTAGCCAAACGATCAACTATCTAAATTGTTCCACCTTCTCCAGCAAATGTAGAGCAAGAAAAGTAATACATGTATGCATTTGAACATAGCAACTATGCAAGTAGTCATGTAAGATCCATGGCATATAATGACATCAATTCTGTAAGACTTAAGGCTGAGATAGCCTATAACAATCCTGATTTATCTTGGGCACCTGGATTCAAGCTATAAAGACGTAATCACTGTTAAATCTGTATGGATTACCATATGTGGAATTTGAGAAGGCCAATACCAGACGGGCAGATTGGAAATCTATCGACAGTACTTTCATTTAAAAAAAAAAATGATAATTATTACCTATTATTTTATTGATATTCATAGACATAATCCACCATATCAATAAAAATAACAATTGGGAGCAAACGATGTCAAACAGCTGCTAAGAGAATGGAATGATATCTATAATTATTTCCCATATATACAAATTGATCATGAAATGATGCTGCAACAATAGATATTACCTTTCCAATCCACTAAGGTACTTATCGTAGACAGAGAACTGAAGCCGGCCACTGGTAGAAGCAGCAAGCACCTCAAAGATATTATCACCGACAATCACATTGGCAATAATGGGAACTGCTGGAGCAATTCGAGAAAAAGCCTCGATTCCAACTGTAACATCCTCATCTATCTGCAATGAACATACGAATCAAACCAGCCAATACTATTTCAAGGACAATTTCAACTTCTAGGAGAGCATAAAAAAATTCGAAGCAGGCCCATGTCAGATTTTAGAGATTGTGGAGAACGCTTAGAAAATGCCATTTCCCATAGCATACATGATGCAAGAGTATGTTTACTCCAAAAAAAAAAAAAAAGAGAGAGAGAGAAAAAGATATTTAAACAAAAATTACAGCGAAATTCATGGTAATAAAAATGCTGCATAGTGCTTATGTATGGAATCATGTTAATCAACCTATCAAAATACATACATTATGAAATGGTTGGCTGGCAGCTGCAGGAAACTCCCAAGCAACCATCATATCAAATGTAAGCCGGCGAAATTTTTTGTCATCCAGATAACCAGTTACTCGAATAGATAGAGCAAGAGCCCTGAAGCAACAGTATTCCAAAAAGTTCCGTGCTAAGTTTGATGGATGCCTTAAAGAATCAGAAGCCTCTCCATCAAAGTTTTCTCGAAGTTGGCACATGGAGATGCCAAGGATTCTGCATGCAAATAACAGCACACAAACAAGTTAGTTCGTGGATACTCCAGGGAACATATAATATTAAATGTGTCAAAATTTGCCCAAAACATTTGGATAAGACTGCAAGTATTAGAAACAAAACTTTCCTTTATCTAGTCTGAAACTATAATAACAAAACGGATAAGAGAGATAAAGCAGAAAACGAACTTTGAGCATCTCCGCACCACTACATTTGCCACGGGAGAGAGATCATGGAGCCAGTTCTTCCCAGCAGATGGAGAATTTCTCATCTCATCTATCTCGTCATTGAATGGACTCTGTGATTTAGTAAACCACTTGAAAGACCCTTCCTTTACCAGCCCCTCGAGCATGGCCCGAGTTTTGCTGGCCATAGCCATTTCCCAGATCCCCTATTCGATGCAGCCTATTCAACAGCCTAGATAACAATAGCTTAGCATTCAATAATAACAGAAAAACCATGAACTGGTGAAACCTCTACCAATTAGCATATACTAATTACTAATTAACACTATTTGAAAATCCACTAACCAGGTATCCTCTTGTAACAACAATTGAAAGCATTCAACCATTTGCAAGAATAAAATAATCCATTCCATTCAATGAACAAGATCCACATTCTTATAGTTACCCAGACCCAATAATGCTTTTTGTTGAATCAGAAATCACAACCAAAAACCCTTTTCCACAATTAAATTGTGTTGCCCAGCTACATGCAATTCAATTACCTGCAAAAATAATGAGAAAAAAACCCCGAGAGAGACAACTTTTCATGAACTCAGCCTGAAATGAACTGCTGAACCGATTTGCGAAAATCCCATCTAGTCAATTCGAAGAAATAAAAATCGGATATTGTAATTGAATGATTCCTATACAGAAGGAGATTGCTAAGAATATCAGCGTCTTCTCAAAAACTCGAAAACGGAAAGACCGTCTGAGACTAGATTCTGCCTTGCAGTGGGGTTCGCGGAATACTTAATGGCAAAATAATGAATTACGCAAAACAAGTACTTTTCTTTGAAAAAAAAGTACTTATTTATTAAGGAAAGGATAAAAATTAAACATGAAGAGACAAAAGGATAGAAGCACGCGCTAACCGTATCCGGATGGCAACTTTATTTTTTTTATTTATTAATCGCTGAGGACAATTCAACTACAAATTATTCCCACCAAACAATATAAATTTGACGTATCATGCTGAATTTTATTAAATTTGTAAGAAAACAAAATTGTTCTAGGTTCTTTATTATTATTTTACTGTCTTCCTTAACCCATTTTCACATTATAGAGCTTGTTTGGCTAAGCTTATAGGAAATATATGAGCAACCTTTATCTCAAAAGAGCATGTAGATGAATTGAACCACCCCGCACCCCCTCGAGTGCAGGCATTTGGCGAAGTCGATTTATGTAGTACATATAGCTGGTAAGTCAATGTACTATGTCATTCGAAATCAAATAAAAGTATCTCTTGCTTACAAAATTTCTATAGATCTGAAAATAAATTTATAGATAACTTATAAATTCGGTCAATATTAAATATTAATTTTAACAATATATTCAAAATTACTACTTAAAGTTTGTTTAAGACTTATTTTTTGGGAGAGTAAATTTTGTAATATTGATTTTTTCAAAATTGTTTGACTAAAGAACGGAAAAATTACAGCAAGACGTCTCGATGACACGATGATTTATTCGAGTCGAACGATCGAATCAGATCTTATAACTTTGAGATAGAGAGACAATTACAGCAAGAATGACAACAGCACAGACAGACAGTGCAATGAGGAAAATGTTGCAGCTACCAATTTGCCATTTCTAAATCTTAATCTCTAGCAGCATATGTCGGCCCACAAATACGTATGTATTTTTAAAATATTGCTACTGCTCTATACCATTCCTAGGGATATAGTGATGGTTGGTGGGTGGACTCGTTTATTTTCAACAGAAAATGTAGATTGGTAAAGGATGGATCTTGATTCTATAGAGAAATTTCTTAGGTCACAAAATAGGCTAAGGCAATACTCTGTCTATGATGTTTCCCGTTTAGTACTTGATCTTTTATCTTCCTTTAATATCTTTCCTCACTCGTTTTGCAAAATATTTTCATTATTAGTGAAAACAAACAAAAAATAATAATTGTCAATATATTTACACGTTAATTTAATTAGGAATGATGATTGTAGTTTGTAAACTAGTTATCACTAAAAAAACGAATAATAATAATAAAAAAGAAGAACTTTTTTCGATATATGTATACTTTTTTGTTTTTCCAATTTTTTCATAAAAGAAAAGAACTAAAAGAAAGGAAATCTTTTTTTAATACTGATTTATTTTAACGAAGAAAGAAAAAAAGAAAGAAAAAAATTGAGATTTCATTGTTTCATTCTGAATCATCGACTTTTGTATTTGGGAGAACATTTGATTTCAGAAATACCTTCCTTTTTGGCCTTGTATTCTGGTTTTCAAAAATTATGTTACTTTTTCTCGGACACGTATTACCCAAAAAATAAAAAATTTAAATAAAAAACTAATTATAACTTATAAACCACTATTTTGTAATAATATTGTAATTTTTTATATTGTTAAAATTAAAATTTTATTCAATAATAATGCAAACGAAATTTACTATTAAAATTAAAAATGCTATTGCCTGAAGGACAATTTTGAACACAAAATTGTTATTGAAATCTATGCGCAATAATTCATCATTTTTTTTTCAAGATTCCTAATGGATAATAAAGGAATACAAAAAATATGACTTCCATGGTCATCGCAATTCCACCCCAATTCTTGAATCAATGAATATAAATGACTTCACCTCGTGGGGCATAATCCAGTGGTGTAAAAGACAGGAATAAGCTAGTTTCAACCTTGCTAGCAGTTGCAGTGTGAGGGTTCGATTCCTGAAATATGAAATTTGACTTTTTGTAGGTACCAGTGTATGGATAAACTCTTATTCCCTGGTCTGTTGAGGCACATCCAACGATTTATCTCCCTCACGATGCTTCAATGATGGAGCAGTGGGGCCCTCAAGGTCGAGGTTCAACTTTTAATGAATATAAATGACTTGTACTCCTTCAAAATTTGAACCTCATATTTTGCAGAAAGGGGGATGTGACTCGTGCAAGGACAAATACTATTCGAACCCAAATCACACGGAATCAACAGTTTCAAAATTGCGATTTCGATTTTGATTTGACAGATTGGTAGTTTTTTGGTTCACCTTTGATATCATATTTCAAAAGATGATAACTGAACAACAATTTCAAATTTGTGAGAGAAAAAACTATCAAAGAAGACTGGACTGTATATTCATCAAGACATACTATATAACTCAATAATATACTTACAAAGTCATCTACCTTCCTCCACTGATGAATAGGAGATCGAATTTCTAGAGTAATCCTCAACAAAACTAGTACCTATGGAGTCCTTAGTAACGCCAGTTTGGTTGGTGCTACTGTTTGTATTGTTAGTAAAAGGAGCAGATGAGGCCGTATTGTACCTGCCTACTTGGCCATGGATCGCGGGCTTCGTAGGTCTAGGTAAAGTGAACGAATCGCTTGATAGCATGAGATGAACAGAGTTCATATCTGGCCTATCTGCAACACTAGCTTGACAGCATAACAATCCTAATTGAATGCACATTGCAGCTTCTTCGGGATTGTATTTATCGAGGCTTCCTCTAACTAGTTCCTCCGACTTCCCCGCCTTGAAAAGTGTCCATGTCTGTAACGATGAGATATCCAAGTTATTAAACAAAAGTACAAATTGTTGAAGCATCTTATCTAAAGGTTTAAGTAGTTACGGGGATACATTTTTTCTACAAATTTAGTCTTCATCATGCTTTCCACATGCAAGGCCATTCCATTTTTTCATCTAATGTCCAACTCATACCCAGTTTTCAACTATATAATGGGATATTAGCACGCCTCCATTTTTGTCCTCATCATGAGTATTAAAAAAAATAGCATTTATAAAGAAAATGGCATAATTGGGAAAGAAATTTCATAATAACTTCTTCTCTTACATAATTTAAGAGGTTGGCCTTTTCAGCATCAAGCAACCTGTCATAATTTTTTCTCCCACCGACAATTTCCAAGACCAAAATGCCGAAGCTAAAGACATCTGTCTTCACAGACAAATATCCATGAATTACGTACTCAGGAGCCATATAACCACTGCATTAAAAAAGACGTTAAGCTCTCCGTTAACTGGAGAAAATGACATGGAAAGAGATGAGGAGCAACAACTCACTGAGTGCCGGAAACCTTAAATGTGTTTAAATGTGTGTCATCCCCAGGAAACAACCTTGCGAGACCAAAATCCGAGATTTTTGGATTCAACTGCTCATCTAGCAATATATTACTGGCTTTAATGTCTCTATGAATAATCCTTTCAGGCGCTTCTTGATGCAGATAGAGAAGGCCTCTTGCAATACCATTAACTATTTCTAATCGTTTCTTCCAATCCAGAAGCTGAGACTTCTTTTTATCTGAAAAGTAACACCATGCCAAGTTTCATATCTTATCCAAAATTTTGCATAACAAAATAGTTTAAGTCATCCGACAGAAGAAAAAAATTACCAAAAAGGAAGTAGTCGAGACTCTTGTTAGGCAAATACTCATACACAAGCATCTTTTCAGGTCCTTCCACGCAACATCCGAGCAATGTGACTAAGTTCCTGTGTTGAATTCTCAATAATAGTTTGACCTCATTCTTGAATTCTTTCAGCCCTTGTCCAGAATTGAAGGACAGCTTCTTCACGGCTACTTCTTGACCATTAGGCATCAGTCCCTGGGGACAGGAATATGACAAAAGAATTCATTAGAAAAAGGGCACGTAGTTATAGTTCAGTACTTTTCTGGACGACAAACACGGTTAATTAATGCAGTGAAATTAAGATGTTGAGTTTAAACCCACAAAATAATAATTTTATTGATGTATTTTTAAGGAAAATGGGACACAATATTCTAGCACCTCACTTACGCACACTAAACCATGGCCTCGTTTTATTTTCATTTTTTTCAAAATGCATTGTTTTCTATCTACTTTTCAAACACACATTGACATTCTTCGGTAAAATATTATTACACGCAAATCCAAAACATTTCCTTATTTTTTAACTAAATATTCTCCATCAAATCTCTATTCCAAAATACATTTTTTCCAAACAAATGGGCATCAAACAGGCTCTAGAACTGATACTTAATTGAAGGACTACAGCAGTAAATCAACTTCCCCACTATCTATCCACTCACGTGACTCACTCTATGAAGTCTTTCTCACATACCTTTCTCTCAACCGCAACTTATACATACACAATACACTACAGCAGTATACATAGGCAGGAAAGTTGGTGGATGGTTCTTATAGTATGTCGTTGGGAAGAAAAGGCAGCAAGCTTCTGGATAATTTTTCTTGTGGCGGTAGTGATAGAATAATTATAAAATTGATTTCTTCTAGTTTCTTCTGGGCTTGCTGCGGATTACAGCCTTCTCTAGAAATTTCTTTGAATGGACGTGCTGCATTTTCATAAAATGCCTGCTTGATGATATTTTAAAAATTGACATATGGTTAAAGAAACCTATAAGACTGCATAAATATCTTTACATTTATAAAGCTTGTAAAGAAATGCATTTCTTTTATCCATATTTGTTGTCATAGCAATAAAAAGAACCAAGTTCCATTGTGAAACTAACATTCTATTATAAGTTTATTCTTAGTAATGCTCATACTTAAAACTTTAGTTTAGATCCTGCAGCAGAATTGCATATAAATTGCAACTTCCGAAAACTCTCCCAATAATCATATGACTAATGATTATCGTGCAGCTAAAGTACATATGTGGTGTTAGTAGACTAAAAATTTGAAACTGCAGATTCTTGGCCTCTGGATCTTTAAAGATACACCTTGTAGGTTACGCATGTAAAGCTGTTGAAAGTGTAGGCATTAATAAATGAAAATTAATTATTAATTAGCGATGCATGTAACCATGGAACAAATTGGAGTTTTTCTTTCATAATGTCAATTATGGCTCACGCCAAGTTCGATGTTTAGAGGAATCGCAAGTTGTGCCTTAAGTTGTCTTAAGATATTCGTATTGCATGTTTTTGGTACATTTTTGTTGTCTTTTAGTTTTCATCTTTTAAGATAATGTATTGTGTTAATATGCATATTGAATGGAAGGCTCAATATGCTCCATTTTGACTTTTTTTATTTCTTGTACTATCAAAATATTCTAAAATGAATTTTGCAAGACGATCAGTTAACACAAAAAAGATATATGTACGGTGCTAAATTAAAATTAACACTATATAGCAATAAAGGTCAAATTTAGGCCGTGGACAGAAGCTAATTTCAGAAACTTTTAAATTATCAGAGACTATGAACAATTCCAGTATCGAAACACAGGAATGCTCATTAGATCGTAAGAAAAAGACCTTCAACATAACATATCATTTAACTCATTTCCACAAGAAAGTTACCAGTATACTAAAGATCCAAGTCCATGATAACTCACAAGTGACTGTGCTGAGTGATAGTGTGTTTACCTAGTTGGTCTGATTACAGCAAAAGTACTATGTCTTGTTTAGAATTTTAAACAAAAAACCCAGCATGCCATGATCTAGCATAATTCATATTGTAACATATTCAAACTTTTATTCTTTATTATGTGTATGTTGTGTTACAAAGTCAATAGGATCCAAAGATAATTAAATTTCCATCATGAAGTAAACCCCTAGTTTGTTTAACATTTGTCTCAAGATCATATATGCTACTCCTAGGTCTTTCATAACAACGATTGTTAGAACAAACAACTTGCCAAAATCGCTCTGATACCACTTGTTGAGAATCAGGCCAAATAATAAAAACGAAAATAATATGAACAATATGATAATAATGGATCACAACCAAAAAAAAAAAAAAAAGTTAACGAGGAAACCCAAATCTAGGAAAACCACAGGCAAAGGAGGAGAATTCACCATAATCAATAGTATGGAATTACAAAGAATCTCTTTGGACCAATAGTTGGACAATTGGTCGATTCCAATATGTTGTACACCACACATTTAAAACCAAAGAATCCCTAACATATTAGAAGAATTAATACATAAAAGGTTTTAATATAAGGTAAAGTCTCGATACAATGGGTAAAACCAATGATTAAGAACTTAGGATGAAATAGGAGTCAAATTCACCTTAGACTCCATCAAGACATCTTCAAATCTACTACCAACTCCCAATATTCCTCATCCAGTGTTTTCAACCAAATACTCAACAAGAATTCGGGTCATAACCTAATTCTAACAAACTTCACCTTGACACGTTGCAAGGGATAAAACTTTAACTTTTTAACTCCAACAAAATTCTCCAAACAAAACACTCCACCAAACTATTCCATCTCTTCCACGATGCCCCTTCGGGCATACTCAACAACTGTGAACTAGATCCAAGCACGACTTACCAACAGAATTACTTTGGGCACCAAACTTGTTCAAATCACCATGAACAACAAAATCATCAGGTTCACAACTAATTCCATCTGAGTTAATGAATTTGCTCGAATTATCTCCACGAGCAACAAGATCATAACTCCTTACGTTGCTTCCCCTCCGGGGTCCAAACAAAAATTTGCCATTATAAAATCTGGTGTCACGATGCAAAAGCAGAATCTCAAATTTCATACTTGTCATCCCTGAAACAATTAACTTTATTCAAACCTCGCTTTTATAACTAATCTAGCCCTCCCAAGAACCGCAAAACTTTGGCTTTGATACCACTTATTAGAAACAAACAAGTTATCAAAATCGCTCGGATACCACTTGTTAAGAACTAGGCCAAATAATAAAGACGAGAATAACATAAGCAATATGAAAAAATAGATCACAAGAAAAAAGATTTAGTGCAAACCCAAATTTAGGAAAACCACAGGCAGATGCAGAGAATTAACTATAATTAATAGTAAAGAGTTACAAAGTATCTCTTTGGACCAATAACTAATTGGACAATTGGTCAATTCTAATATGTGTTGTACACCACGTATTTATAACAAAAGAATTTCTAATATATTAGGAGAATTAATACATGAAGAGTTCAATATAAGGTAAAGTATCAATACAATGTGTAAAACTAATAATGGAGAATTTCGGATGAAATAGGAATCAAATTCACCTTGCACTCCTCCAAGACATCTTCAAATCTACTACCAACTCCAAATACTCCTCATCCAGTATTTCCAATTAAATACTTAACAAGAATTCGAGTCACAACTCAATTCTAACAATGATAGATGAATAGCACATTTTAGTGTCATCCACAAAAATGTGATGCATGTCATCCCAAGTATAAGCATGCAGTAATTATAATTGTCATCATTTATTGCATACACAATTATCACATTATTTTGTGATAAAGCAATTAGAGGTTTTATCAAATTTCTCATGCAACTCCTTTGGTGTCAATTCAATCCACACACAGAAATCGCATGTTTTACAAACTTCATTCTCTTGTTCATGTAAAGAAAGCATTCAAGTTTTTGATGCAAATTTCTTCTCATCAATCTCCAAATCTGTTTTCTTCTCCAATTAATGGAACGAGCCCAATTGATAGGGTAATTACATCCTGAATATAGATATTCTGATCATTAGTAAATACCAAAGAGATCAATCCCTTCCTTTTCGAGCACCACCATCAGCTAGCAATCTAGTTTTATACTTGCAGATCGGCCATCAACTTTTAGCCTCATTTTGAACAGTCACGTGTATTCTTTACACCCTCAAGGAAAATCTGCGACTTACTCAGTTTGATTGGCAATTATGAATCTAGCTCACTGTGAAATTCATCCTTCCAAAAGGTAGGTTCAATTCATTTCATGACCTCCTATTGTGATGTCATTCATTGTTGCTACTAAAACTTGCTAGTCCTAACTCATAGGCGTATTGCTTCTTAGTTAATGGGCAAGATGTCCTCTAATTTACAATGAAGACATTATTTTGAAATTGGATTTCAAGCGCAGAGGTGTATCGGTGATATCACTACAAGCAAGAAGTTTTTGTGACAGAAAAACAGTTGCAAAAAGTACCAAAACCGTCACAATAGAGCTCGGGATATTTTGTTCATATTCAAAGCATGTTTTGATGTATTTTCTTTCTCCTAAGTAAAAAATGTCACTTAGAAAACTCCGTTAACCTCTAATGGTGGCATCCTCAACTAGAATTTTGAAGGATTTGAAAAGATTACAAATTTTGATAAATTTCGTGGATTTGAATAGATTTTCACAAATTCTGTAAGAATCTCATCAAAAGATTTTGATGAATTTTAAAAGATATGGTTATATGTATTTTTAAGTTTAAAATTCATTCAAATCTTTTAAAACCCCTCTATTAATGAATTATGAATTCATTAAGTTATCAAGAATGCCTAAATTTTAAAGGATTTCGTTGAGTTTCATTAAAAACACAATTATCACCATCTAAATTTTAATGGATTTCATTAAAATTAGACAACTAAGGGGAATGTCCACAATTGAGATTGTGATGAATTTTAAAAATTCTTTAAAACCCTTGTATGAGCTACGTTTTTCTAAAAGTTTATTTTTTCAAAACTCATTTTAAATCACATATTTTTCAATAAAATAATATTACACACAAATTCAAAATTTTTCCTTAATTTTTAACCACACATTATCCATCAATTACTATTTAAAAAATATATTCTTTTCCTTGAAATGGGGCTCAAACAAGGGCAAAATTTATGTGTCCTCAATTGAAATTTTAATGAATTTCATTAAAATTTATGTATACCAAATTGAGATTTTAATGAAATTCAATAAAATCCTTTAAAATTTATATATTTTCAATAATTAGTGAATTTATAAAGATTTGACTAAGAGGGGGATTTTAAAATATTTGGATGGATTTCAAATTAAAAAACATAATCAAATTTTTGAATTTCACCATATTTGACGAGATTCTTAAGAAATTTGTGAAAATTCATTCAATTACACAAAATTTATTGGAATTTATAATATTTTAAAATCAACCAAAATCTTATTTGAAGACACCCAGTAAATTTAGAAGGATTTTTAAAAAATCCATCCCAATCCTATCGATTATTCTTAACCCATGAAGAGAAAAGTATAACTCCTTGGAGAAGGCGAAAAGAGTACCTTGTAGACGGGCCCAAAGCCACCTTGGCCCAGCCGGTTCATTTCGGAGAAGAAATTGGTGGCAATTTGCAGCTTCTGGAGACTGAAAAACAAGTCGCAAGATTCTTCTGTGCCATCGTCCGCGGCGTCGTCTCCGTTTGTGGCCCTCAGGCGCCGCCGCAAACAGCTGTACATGTCGGAAAATAGTCGCATGGAGGCATCAAACAGACTGACAGAAATGAATTCTCTAATATTGGGCTTTCTACTGAAATTTTAGCCCAATTACATGAACATTCACCGGTATATATTCGCTATTCTCTGGATTTTACTGCAGCTTTGTACCAACAGGTGGGCTACTCCAAATTGACAAAAAAAAAAAAGGGCAAATTCAACTGGAAAAAGGCGTTGACAACGAAGTTGCTATTCAATTTACAATTTGGGGCAGTTCCGGTCCATCTTTTCTTTTAATTTTCCTTGGTCAAAGTACCGTCCAAGGTGTCCGGCCGTATAAAATTAAATGTGTTTGAATTTGTTGGAGTGAAATGAGAATCAGATAACGAAAATTTCAACAGTTTTTTTCAAGGTGGTTGAGGGACGATGAAGTGCTAGTCGTTGATCATGTTTATTGATAATTTTTATACAAAACCCATTCAACTCTGCTCTATTAGAATAAGGGGGGTGTATTGGGACTTTGAAAGATTTGATTGACTTTTTTTTAAGCGATGACTATCATGAATTTCGTGGATCTTTGATATAAATAATAGATGCTTAAATATTATATCACTAATATAATATGTGCAATAATTAGAAACTTGAAATTCGGTTCAAAATTTTTTATTTTAGACGTGGTAATTTTTAATGAATAATGCAATTCATCATCAGTTATGATTTATCACTAATTTAAAAATCAATTTTGATGTTTTTGTAAAGCTGGGTCATGGACGTCACAATGTTTGAGTTACTTTTTGACATGAGAGATGTGAAAGGGTTGATTCTACATCTAAATTTATTTGGAGGTGAACTCTCCCGTCACCTTAGTGAATGTATGGCTATGCTAGAGGGTTAGAAAGTTGCAGTGAATGTCGGCTTGACGTTTCTTGGGTGGATAATGTAACAACATCATTGATGTGGTACACGTGCCTACTATCACACTTTTAAAGGTTCTTTCATATTTCACACTGTATCTTTCACTCTGCCATTTGAGTTAAGGGATACTTGCAACGAATTGTTCGAATTCAAAATTAAACTATACTCTACTTAAAAATAAACTTATGTGAGAGTCAGCATGCAAAAGTGATAATTAGTTCATTTTTCGACATGTCTTGCCTATGTATGATGGGCTTAACATGAATAATAGATTATTAGCATTATAACACTGTCATATTTATATCACAAAATTCATTTAAGCAAATGGAAAATTGCAACCAACGAAAAATATTTGAGAACAACTTGGAATACTAATGTATTGGGGATATAGTGGCTCTACATTTCAAAGATGAATGATAATATCTCCCATAGCTTGATTTGTGACATAACTCAAAATAATTTTTTATCATGAGCTCGAGCTTTTGCATTGTATTGTTGCACACACTATAGTGCATTAAATTCCAATTCGTTAAAAGTATTGTTTGGGGGTGAATACAAATAAAAAAGGTAGCCAAAATATAGTTTTTCTTGTCTAACATGAATCCCTCATCTTTAAATCGTTTGCTTTTATAGACATATGTTGCGATTATAAGCCTCAATCATTTACAACTTACTAAAGAGCGACAGGATACGGTCTCTTGAAAAAACATAACAATGTAATGTGAGGTCACTTAAATATCAAGGTTCTACACGGCCTCTGTTTGGAAGATATTGAAAATAGTTTATTTTATTTTATTTATTTTTTATATTTTTTTAAACGAATTTTGGAATAGCTACTTTTTGGAGAATGTGTATTTAAAAAGTAAAAAATTGTTTTGAATTTACGTGTAAAATATTTTATTATATAAATGTATGATTGAAAATAAGTTTGAAAAAAATAGAATTTTGAAAAAATTGATGAGAAGCCCCCTGTTTGACAACCATATTTGAAAATTCTTTTTTCTACATATTTATATTCATATTCAATCACATATTCACACAATAAAATATTTTCTACGTAAATTCAAAATTTTTTTATACTTTTTTAATTAGACATTTTTTAAAAAATTACTATCCAAAACATTATATTTCTCAGATAATGATTGTTAAATAGGGACTAAGAAAACGTGAATCTACTCGCCTCACTATTTAGGTTGTTAAAACAACGTAGTATGAAATAGGGGGGAAAAAACAAACAAACAAACAACAACAAAAAAACAAAAGGAGGCGTCACTTCAAGAGAGAGTAGGCTAGATAGAAAAAGAGTAATGTGTCATTTTCTAGATAATGCTTTCATTAAAGTGTAATTTTGAAAAAAAAAAAAATGTATTTTGAAATAATGATTTTTTTTGAAGAATGCTTGGTTAAAAAATAATAATAAAATTTTAATTTACGTGTAATATTATTTCATGAAAGAATGTATAATTGAAAATAAATTTTCAAAAAATGAGTTTTAAATATAATGGGGACCAAACTTAAACTTAGGGGCCGTTTGAGCCCTATTGTTTGTAGATTATAATGAGATGAATAATATTTTTTTGAAAAATAAATAGTTGAAATTTTTTTAATTTACGTGTAATATTATTTTATTAAAGATTGTGTGGTTAAAAGTAGGAGAGAGAAAATTTTAATTTAATGTAATAAGAAATGATGGGGTTCAAACGAGGGCTTAATATTTTAAACAAATATAACCTTAAAAAATGTTATCATCTAGGCATTTGGGCCAAACTAGACTGACTCAACGAAGAACCATGTTGCATGTATAGACAACTTTCATAGAATTTGTTCACTAGTGGACATATGACAGAATTTCATTCATTTCAATCAAAACAAATAAAAAAATATACCATACAAGAGCTGAGTACCTCTGAACAATTCTATGTAATTGTTCCTCAATGAAAATGCCTAGTGCATGTACACACACTCTCTCTCTCTTTTTCTCTCCATTTATTTTTTAAAACGATTTTAAACTATCTAGACATTCTCTCTAAAGTTAATGAGAGTCTCTAGTCCACTTAGACATCTATTCTGCCTTATCAACTTTGCATAAATTTTTCTAGAGGACATTTAAAAAAAGGAGGCCGCGATCATTTTACATCACTAAATACTAATAAATTAATAAATAAATGCGTAGGGGAGAAAATTCATTTTGGTTTTAAAAAAAGTAGACTAGTTAAAAAAAAATTCCCTTGAAATATATTGTTGCAATGTGTTTCCCTTATGAGGGATGTCATGTGTTTCAAAACATAATGCATCTGTAACACCCCGAATTTTAATTATATTTTTTATATGGGTTAAATTTAATATTGATCATTTATCATATGAAATAGTTCATGTCCAATCTATTCGTTACACTAAAGTTCAAAAATTGAAATGATAAACGTGACCCACTTATTCACATAAATGATTTATTTGGCTTATGTGTACTTTTAGAATTTATCGTAAGTTATTTGAGTCGAATATTTAAGTACTTTTTTTAGTTGATAAAAATATATCGGTATTATACTTATTTTGTAAGCCGTATTAAATAATATAAATTGGCTCAAACAATATAATTTTGGACTAATTTTATCTAAGTTATCTTGATAGAAAAAAAAAAATTTTAATTCTATATTTTATTAATAAAATATATGTTTAAAAATAATTGAAATGTCTCATTCATTGTCAGGTCCTGCTTGGAATTTGAAATGACATTGTAATAAATATAAAACGTATATAAGTCATTTAGGCAATAAACAATCGATTGTTCTTTTTGAATTCCACGCCTAATTGACAGTAAATAATATAATAACTGACCAATTGAATTCTTAAATTTTAGCACTTCTACGTTTGGAATTTGATGGACATTTTAATTGATTGGTAATCATGCAAGTGGATATTGTGTGTATAACATGTGTGAAGTATCTTTTTTTCTTTTTACCATGCAAAAAGTGATTCCACATGTTAACATACACTTGTTGAAAATGAGTATTGTTTATTTTAACAAACACATTCAGAATTTAACAAATGGGTTTCTGCCAATTTTTAATTATTGTGTCGAAGAATATTTTTAGAATTTATGATACCAATTTAGCTAAGAATACTTTGTACGAGTACTAAATTCTTATTTTTGTAATATATTATAAAATTTGGTATGAAATACGTTAAGGTCTTTGGATTGATTTTTATGTTAAATCCTTTGGGATTGATTGTTAAGTCGAATATGTTAAATCTTTCGGGATAGACTGTTAGATTGAATATGTAAATCCTGCGGAATGTGGTAATTCTCAGGGGCGGAGCCAGCACCCGGTGAGCCGGCGCAGCCGCTCGTGCTGGTTCCGATGGGGAAGGAATTTTATGTCGATGAAGTTATTATGTTAAATATGTAAAACTGTACCATTATTTACAGTTATGATTGTAGCTCATTTGGTAGGGCATTGGTTTTGCAAGTGAGAGGTACCCGGTTTGACTCTCCTCCTTTTCACTTCTTCTTTTAATTTTTCAAACACAATAAATAATAGTTAAATAATTGTATACTATTTTGTTTTAACTAGCACTAATATAGCTTTGTATCTCAATTGGGAATTCCATTTTTATCATATCAGAGGTATGGGATTCGATTCCCTTCACCTCCTCTTCTTCTTTTTAATTTTTTAACACAATAAATAATAATTAAACAATTCTATATTAATAGTTTTTGTTTCTAAAAAAATTTGTTGACTCAAATTATTACTTCATAGTATATACTTTTATTATTAGATTTTATCAATTTATTTTGTAAAATTCAAATTTGGACAATTTAATTACTGATCTTTATTATTTTAAGAGTTTGAAAAAAAGATTTCTTTTTTTGGATAAAAATAGCTTTAAAAATCATTGCTTTAAAAATTTATTGACTGAAATTATCATTTCATAATATATACTTTAATTGTTAAGTTTTATCAATTTATTTTGTAAAATTCTTTGTTCTTCTAAGAGTTTGAAAAATACTTTTCTTTTTGGGGGCAAAAATAGCTCTAAAATTCATTGTTTTTAAATTTTTGTCTTTATCGATTAACCACTACATATAAACTTCATATTGTCTTGCTTAAATTCATAAAAATTTGAAACTTGATAATAGGTATATGACTCAAAAAATGTATTTTTATTCCTTATTATTTTGGGTTGTACTGAATTATATTTTAATATTTATATTATTTTACATTTTAGTGCATTTATATATTGATTGGAGATTCTTTTAATATAAAGTAATTAAATATTAGTAAACAATATTGTTATATTGGGCGGTGTTTGATAAATGCTCCACGCTCCGCCCTAACTCACTCGAGCAACTGGATCCGTCCCTGGTAATTTTTATGAAATTTCTTGAGCTATTGGATGTTGCGACCAACTTACTCTAAATCTATGAAATGTCAGTATACCATATCATTTTATATTTATATCATGTTAATAGGAATGTGCACGTATTTTTATCGAGTGCTTTAAAAAATACTAACTCTTACTACAAAT